CCTCCGACCTCTTGAGGACCTTCTGTCAGGCGGAGGGCATCGAGCAGACCTTCACGCTTCCGGACTCCCCACAGCAGAATGGGGTTGCTGAGCGCCGCATTGGCCTGGTCATGGAGGTCGCTCGTACCTCCTTGGTCCACGCGGCGGCTCCCCATTTTCTGTGGCCGTTTGCTGTCCGGTACGCCGCGCATCAGCTCAACCTCTGGCCCCGTGTCTCCTTGCCGGAGACCTCGCCCACACTGCGTTGGACGGGGGAGGTTGGCGATGCGTCGCGCTTCCGGGTGTGGGGTGCTCGTGCCCTTGTCCGCGATACGTCCGCGGACAAGCTCTCCTCCCGCACGCTTCCCTGTGTCTTCCTTGGCTTTGTCCCTGACGCGCCTGGCTGGCAGTTTTACCACCCCACCTCGCGCCGGGTCTTCGCCTCTCAGGATGTCACCTTTGACGAGTCGGTCCCTTTTTACCGTCTCTTCCCCTACCGCACTGCCCCCCTCCCTCCCCCACCGCTTTTCCTTGCTCCTGGCCCCCCTCCGGTAGACCCCCTTCCCCCTCAGGGTCCTGCTCCTTCAGGTGTCTCTCAGGTAGACCCTCCTCCCGTCGCTGAGCCTGTCGAGGTCACAGGTGACTCAGGTGCTGCTGCAGGTGGTACTGCTGGGAGTGCTGAGCCTGGGGGTGCTGAGCCTGCGGGTGCTGGGCCTGGGAGTGCTGGGACTGCGGGTGCTGGAGCTGAGGGTACTGTGCCTGAGAGTTTGCCGCCTGGGGGTGCTGAGCCTGGGGGTGCTGCGACTGAGGGTGCTGAGCCTGCGTGTGCGGAGTCTGGGGGTGCTGAGTCTGGGGGTGCTGAGCCTGCGGGTACTGAGCCTGGGGGTGCTGCTGCTGAGCCTACGGAGCCTCGGGTTGCTGCGTCTGGGGGTGCTCCGGTTCGGGGTGCTGAGCAGTCTCTCACACCGCAGCAGCTTCGTGACTGGTACGTCCGGCGCTTCCGCCGTCCTCGTGGCTCGGCTGGAGTTGGGGGTGCTGGAGCTGCTCGTCCTGGGGGTACTGGAGCTGCCGGGACTGGTTGTTCTGGGAGCACTACGACTGGAGCTGCTGGAGCTGGGGACTCTGGCGCTGGCGGTGCTAGCGGAGTTGGAGCTGCCGCCTCTGGGGGTACTCTTCCTAGCGGTGCTGCGGACCCTGGGGGTGGCGCTGCTGCTGGTGCTGCGGACCCACCTGGTGGAGCTGCTGCTGGAGCTGAGGACCCGAGCGGTGGCGCTGCTGCTGGTGCTGGGGACCCGGACGTTGGAGCTCCTGCTGGTACTGAGGACCCGGCCGCTGGAGTCTCCTCTGCTTCTGGAGACGCTGCGCGGCCGCGACCGTACTTCGTACCGCTCCTTCAGCAGGTTCTTGGGCAGGCTCCTCCTCCTTGTCCTCCTCCCTCCGTCGAGTGTCCTCCGCCTGTCCAGCCACAGTCACAGTTACCGCCTACCTCGCCTCTCCCTGCTCCCTCTCCTTACACTGGTCCCACAGGAGGTCTTGCAGAGCGTCGTGAGCCTGAGTCTCGTCCTGCGTCGCCTGTCCGTACTGCTCGCACTGGTCGTCGTGTCCGTCGTGAGCGTCCTCCTCCTGTCCCAGGCACTCACTACATGACTCTGCGTCCCTCTACTGCTCCTCAGCGTGTCCCTCTGCCGTCTCCTCCTGCGTCCTCTTTGCCTGCTGTTCCGGACCCTGAGTCTGACCGGTATCGTGCTGAGCACCCTACTGTCACGCGTCTCCTAGCTACTGTTGTCACTGACCCTACCTTTGAGTCCTCGGCTGCGTCTGCTCTGGTCGCTGAGTTGGTTGACTTTGCTGCTGCCTGTCGTCTAGACTACGCTGCTCGCCTTGTTGCTGGGTCTGAGTCTGCGTCTATCTGTCCTCCGTCCGTCGGGGGTGAGTGTGCTCTTGGCACGGACGTCCTTGAGGACAGGCAGGAGGACTTTGACTCTCTCGCGGCTGCTGTACCTCATCTCGTGGCCTCGTTGCTTGCCCCTGAGGGAGACCCGGATGCACTAGACATCCCCACTCCGCGCACTTACGCAGAGGCGATCTCGGGTCCCTACTCCTCTCAGTGGCAGACAGCCATGGACGCGGAGATGGCATCCTGGAAGTCCACAGGCACCTACGTCGACGAGGTTCCCCCTCCTGGGGCGAACATCGTCGATGGCATGTGGATTTTCAGGGTGAAGCGGCCGCCAGGTTCTCCGCCTGTCTTCAAGGCTCGTTACGTTGCTAGAGGCTTCAGTCAGCGTCAGGGGGTCGACTTCTTCCAGACCTTCTCCCCCACCCCGAAGATGACCACTCTTCGGGTTCTGCTGCACGTTGCTGCTCAGCGTGACTACGAGCTTCACTCTCTTGACTTCAGCACAGCGTTCCTGCAGGGCAGCCTGCACGAGGAGATCTGGCTGCGCCGCCCACCTGGCTTTACTGGGTCGTTTCCTCCTGGTACCCAGTGGAGCCTCCGCCGGCCAGTCTACGGTCTCCGCCAGGCGCCACGCGAGTGGCACGACACACTGAGGACTACACTTGCGGCTCTTGGGTTCGCGCCGTCTACTGCTGACCCGTCGCTGTTTCTGCGCACAGACACGTCGCTGCCGCCGTTCTACATTCTCGTGTACGTCGACGACTTGGTCTTTGCTACTGCTGACACTGAGGCACTCGCTCGTGTGAAGTCGGAGCTGCAGAAGAGACACACCTGCACTGACCTGGGTGAGCTGCGTAGCTACCTTGGCTTGCAGATCACCCGGGACAGAGCTCGCCGCACCATCACCCTGACTCAGTCACACATGGTGCAGCAGGTCCTTCAGCGCTTCGGCTTCCAGTTCTCCTCACCGCAGGCCACACCTATGGCTACCAGCCACTCGCTCTCAGCTCCACCTCCGGACGAGTCCGTAGAGCCGAGTGGCCCGTACCCAGAGCTTGTGGGCTGCCTCATGTACCTGATGACGTGCACGCGACCTGACCTCGCGTACCCTCTTAGCATCCTTGCTCGTTACGTTGCGCCTGGGAGACACAGGCGAGAGCACTGGGAGGCTGCTAAGAGGGTGCTGCGCTACTTGTGCAGTACATCAGGCATGGGGCTGGTGCTTGGAGGACGCGACAGAGTTGTCCTCACTGGCCACTCGGACGCTTCTTGGGTGGACGACCTGGCTACGCAGCGGTCGTCACAGGGTTACACCTTCAGCCTTGGCTCTGGTTCTGTCTCGTGGCGGTCCACCCGCTCTTCCTCTGTTCTCGGCTCTAGTTGTGAGGCTGAGATCTACGCCACAGCCATGGCTGCACAGGAGTTACGCTGGCTCACCTACCTGCTGACTGACTTGGGAGAGCGGCCTAGTTCTCCTCCAGTTCTGTACGGTGACAACAAGGCGGCTCTTGCCTTGTGTCAGGAGCACAGACTGGAGCACAGGACGAAGCACATTGCTCTTCGCTACTTTCTTGCTCGAGAGCTTCAGCAGCGCGGTCAGCTTCGGCTTGTGTACGTGGACTCGAAGGCCAACACTGCTGATATCTTCACCAAGGCGCTCCCGCCTAGTGATCATCAGCGGCACTGTACTTCTTTAGGCCTTGTGTCCACGTTTCCTCACTTGCTCACTGCTTGACATTCTTTGTACTGTACTTTATATATATCTTGTTACTTGCTTGCTAGGTTTTGATCACTGTGTTGTTTGTCTTGTACTATATCTAGCACTGCATGTGAACTGGCCTTGTGGCCTTTACTTGTGCTCGGAGCGTGGTGACGTTGTGATCCACCCTGGGCTTTGCTTTGCTTTGCTGGACTGGTCTTGTGACCCTTTGTTCTCCCCCACTTTGCCTATGGGGGTGTGTTAAACTGTATTATGCTTGTAGGCTGTAGTGGGGTAGCCAATATGGGGTACAACCCCAACTAGGGTTTCATATTTGTACCCAAACTTCTGCTAGTTCATTCATTCTTGCCTAGTTACTTTGAGAGTACCGTATGAAGAATGAATTGAATTTGATATCTATAGTAGATGGGACACAATGTTAACACCCAAGCTAAACCAAACGCTAAATATGCAGCAGGCCGGCCAAAACAAACACTGCACAAAGTGCAGCTGGCCGTACCACGCCAGATATACAATACTTCAAGCCCATAACGTCATAGGCAGATATGTTACGGTTTTTGTTACGAACGCCTCAGCAGCAGGGAAGGGACACGCGGCATCCCCGATCGAGCAGTGTCAAGCAGAGACAGCAGGAGGCATATGAGGGAGAGTGGGGGGTTGGGTGCCGGAAGGCTCAGAAATGGGAGGGGAAGAGTTGCATCAATGTAACTTTCGAATCACCTCAAAAACCACCTCAGAGTCAGCAGAAGGTGCCTCTAGCTCCCTCAGCCGCTCAGAGACACAGCAGAAGGCATATGTGGGAGGGTGGGGGATAGGGTGCCGGCTGGTAGACAGGGAAATGGTAACAGGAAAGGGTGCCGGCTGGTAAACAGGGGAATGGTAACAGGAAAGGCCGTAACAGGGTAATGAGGAGAATCGGCGGCGAGTGGGGAGGGCTGGCTGTAAGTGGGCATAGCTTGGGCATTTGAGGCGCTTCAAAAGCTTGGGTCCCGGCAGTGCAGCTGGTGTGGAGAGGAAGCGAATGGTCCATCCGCACTGAGGGATAGTTGAAGGTGATACCAAAATCAAAATGAGCAGCAGCTGAGTGTGGGAAGGATATCCATGGCTTGGCGGCAGGTGGATCATAAAATGGATGTGATCTTATCATGCTATGGGTGGGCGAGAAAATGCAGATTTGATTCTCTGGCGAATTTGGAACCGGGAGCCTGGGGAAGGAAAATCAGGCGCATGGGGAAGGGAAGGGCCAGGGGAAGGGCACAGGCAGGGAGAGAGGAGATAAGGACCAGAGGAAGGAGTGCAGGGAGAAAGAAAGAGACTCTGGTTTTCCAGTCGACTAAAAAACGAAGATAAGGACCAGCGGAAGGAGTGCAGGGAGGGATCAACAGACACTGGAAACTATCATCAGAATTCAACAAGGGGAGTGGAATGCTCACGCCATCTCACCAGGGAGCCGCCTCCCCCCTCCACCCCTCTCATTTCCCTCTCACCTTTCCGCTGGTGCCCCTCCCCTCCCGCCCCCTCGTGCCTCTCCCCCTCCTCCCCCTCCCCATGCGCCTTGGGCCCTGCTATGGGCGGTGGGTGCTGCATCGCATTGTACTCTGCCTCCAGCTCCCTCAGTCGCTCTGACACCTGCATGGACAGAAGGGGGGATGGCACACAGTGAAGGCGCATTGGACGCAGGGAGGGGGTGAAACGGTGCACACAGACTGCTATGGTTCGCTCGCTTGCTCCACCTCCCCCTGCGCCTTGGTGGGCCCTGCTATTAGCGGTGGGTGCTGCATCGCATTGTACTCTGCCTCCACCTCCCTTAGCCTCTCTGAGACCTGCACGGACAGAAGGGGGAATAGCACACATGGAAGGGCATCAGACGCAGGGAGGGGGGGAAATGGAGCACACAATTTGTTATGGTCTGCTCGCTTTCTCCCCCTCCCCATGTGCCTTAGGCCCTGTGATGGGCAGCGGGTGTCATGGGCCGGTGCAAGCCATGGAGCAGCCAAGCACGCGGGGAGCGATGAGCAGCACAGAGAGAGGAGCAAAACTCACGTCGAAGGAGAAGGCGACGTTGAGCAGCGTTTCTGGCTCCAGGATGCGATCAGAAAGGAGTGTTGTTTGCCCCGACCCTAGACTCCTAAACCCCGACCCTTCCTCTTCCCCCACTGTGCGTACATTGAAGGAGAAGGCGACGTTGAGCAGTGTGTCTGGCTCCAGAATGCGATCGGGGTATGTCCGCAGTGCCGGCACGAGGTCCTCAAACGGCATCTGCAGCTGCAGGGGGGGAAAGAGGTGAGGAATGCTTTTTAAGAGCAGAGGAAAGGTTTGAAGGGCTGATTGAAGTGAATGGAGGATACAAGCAAAGCAAGAGCCAGGCATGGGAGACGAGAGCGCAAATGAGCAGCGGGAGTGAAAAAGAAGAGAGGGAGGGAGAGCACGAAGTGAGTGCATGGGGAGAAGCAGATGGGCATACCAGGTCGTCCTGCTGCTGCTTCAGCAGAGCCAGACCCACTCGAAACACAGTCTTCATGCCCTGCCATGGGGGAAAGTGGAGAGGGGAGAGGAGAATGAACCTAAGGCGCCTAGAAAGTCTTCATGCACTGCCAGGCGCAAGGGAGAAGGGAAGAGAACCATTATCGGTTTGTGACTGTAGAGCAAAGGAGAGGCTGTAGGCAAAGACAGTGATGAACCACTGAGACGCGTATGTGGAGGGGGGGGGGGGTCTCTCCCTCGCCCTCTTCCCTTCCAAGCACACAGGTGGTTGAAAGGGGGGCGGTGCGTGCCTCACCTAAAAAAGGAGAGCATCCCATATTCTGAGAGTAGCTGCAAACGGGAAGCTGTGGGCGAACACTTTTATGAACCACTGAGACGCGTCTGTGGAGGGGGTCACCCCCTCGCCCTCCATGTGCCTGTCACACACTCGCCCTCCCATGTGCATGTCACACACGAAAAAAGAAGAGTTTTGAGACGTCTCAAAACTCTTCTTTTTTCACGTCGCCCTCCCATGTGCATGTCACACACTCGCCCTCCCACGTGCATGCCACACACTCGCCCTCCCACGTGCATGTCACACACTCGCCCTCCCACGTGCATGTCACACACTCGCCCTCCCACGTGCCTGTCACACACTCGCCCTCCCACGTGCATGTCACACACTCGCCCTCCCACGTGCCTGTCACACACTCGCCCTCCCATGTGCATGTCACACACGAAAAAAGAAGAGTTTTGAGACGTCTCAAAAGTTTTGAGACGTCTCAAAAGTTTTGAGACGTCTCAAAACTCTTCTTTTTTCACCTCGCCCTCCCATGTGCATGTCACACACTCGCCCTCCCATGTGCCTGTCACACACTCGCCCTCCCACGTGCATGCCACACACTCGCCCTCCCACGTGCATGTCACACACTCGCCCTCCCACGTGCATGTCACACACTCGCCCTCCCATGTGCATGTCACACACTCGCCCTCCCACGTGCATGTCACACACTCGCCCTCCCACGTGCCTGTCACACACTCGCCCTCCCATAAGCCGCGCCCTCCCGTCTCACCTCAAACAGAAACACGTCCCATATCCGTAGAGTAGTTGCAAAGGGGAAGCTGTAGACAAAGGCGGTGATGAACCACTGTGAGGCGTACATGGAGGGGGTCACTCCCTCCCTCCCCCTTCCCCCCAAGAACACAAGTAGTTGCAAGGAGGGCAGTGTGTGCCTCACCTCAAACAGGAAAACGTCCCATATTCTGAGCGTGGTGGCGAAGGGGAAACTGTATGCGAACACTGTGATGAACCACTGCGACGCGTACATGGAGGGGGTCACGCCCTCGCCCTCCATGTGCCGCGCCAGCTGTGGCAGGCACTCGTGCAAGAGGCGGTCGAACTGGAACAGGTACTGCTGCACTAGGGGCAGACCCACCTGGGGGAGGGAGAAGAGAGGGAGAAGAGAGGAATAAGAGAATGAGAAGAGGAGGGTAAGAGAAGAGAGGCAGCGACACTGCGGCAGACTTTCGTGTAAGAGGCGGTCAAACTGGAACAGGTACTGCTGCTCTAGCGGCAGACCCACCTGAGGTGGAATGGGAGAGGATGGGGGTAAAGAAAGGGGTGAGACAGTAGCTTGAAGGCAGGTTCACGCCCTCCCCCTCCATGTGCCGTGCCAGCTGCGGCAGACACTCGTGTAGCAGGCGGTCAAACTGGAAGAGATATTGGTGCACTAGAGGCATGCCCACCTGGTGGGGCGGGAGAGAAGGGGACAGGGGGATAAGGGGACGAGAGGAAAAGGGAATAATTGAGTGACACAGCAGAGTGCAGAGAGGGGCAGGGACTTGTGTCGCAGGCGGTCGAACTGGAAGAGATATTGGTGCACTAGCGGCAGGCCCACCAGGGGGAGGGAGAAGAGAGGAGGAAAAAAGGGGATGATGCTGTGAATGTGCTGTAGCAGAGTGAGGACCACGGCAGGCACTTGTGTAGCAGGCGGTCGAACTGGAATGGGTACTGCTGCACTAGCGGCAGACCCACCTGGGAAGAGAGGAAGAGAGTGGGAAAAGAGGGATGAGGGAATGAAAAGAGAAGTGGGGAAAGGGGTGGGATAGCTGGATGAAGACAGGGGGGTTGACTTTTGAGTCGACTCAAAAGTCAACTCGTAGTGGCCGCGGTCACACAGGAAGATGTACTGCCGGAACAACAGCAGTCTTTACCGGGGGAACTTATGAGGAAGGTTCACGGCACTTACGAGGAAGATTCCTTCGAGCGAGGTGTGGTTGGCGCCCTTCATGAGTGCGACGAGCAGCCAGAAGGCGTCCTCCTCTGCCATGTAGAGCAGCATTAATCCTGCTATGAAGCCCATGCCCTGTAGGTGGTATGACGAACATGCATGGGAAAGAGAGTGGGTGTATGAGCGCCACAAAGGAGCGGCCAGAAGGCGTCCTCTTCCGCCATGTAGAGGAGCATAAGATCCGCTATGAAGCCCATGCCCTGTTGAAGTGGGGGGAGAGGGAAGGGATGAGGGAGGAGAAGGCATGCAGTGAGAAGAAGAGACTCGGTATATGCGGCACACAGCAGCAGCCAGACGGCGTCCTCCTCCGCCATGTAGAGCAGCATGAGCCCCGCCATGCAGCCCATGCCCTGTTTGAGGTTGAAAAAGGGATGAAGAGAGAGTAGGGGAGAAGGAAGGACGTGAGTGAGTGTCACACAGCAGCAGCCAGACGGCGTCCTCCTCCGCCATGTAGAGCAGCATGAGCCCCGCCATGCAGCCCATGCCCTGTTTGAGGTTGAAAAAGGGATGAAGAGAGAGTAGGGGAGAAGGAAGGACGTGAGTGAGTGTCACACAGCAGCAGCCAGACGGCGTCCTCCTCCGCCATGTAGAGCAGCATGAGCCCCGCCATGCAGCCCATGCCCTGGTGGGGGGTAGAAGGGGAGGGAGGTGGGGGTGAGAGAACATGCAACGGGGAGGAGGAGGTATATGCACGTAGTGAATGGGCGACACACACGAGCAGCCGGAAGGCGTCCTCCTCCGCCATGTAGAGCAGCATCAGGCCTGCTATGAAGCCCATGCCCTGACGGTGGAGGGAAGCAAGGAGTGGAAGGCATGCAGGGAGAGAAGTGAGAAGGTTAAGCATGCACTGAGCGAGCACCACACATGAGTAGTCAGATCAGAAGGCGTCCTCCTCCGCCATGCCCTGGCTATGAAGCCCATGCCCTGGTGGGGAGGAACGTGGAACAAAGCAGAGGAGAGAATAAGGTGGGACAGACATGCGAGCATGGCCCGCTGCATGATCGCCACACTTGAGCATCCAGAAGGTGCCTAGCCTGCAGCTGCTACTTTCTGAACCTGCTGTCATGTACCTCCCTTCCACCCACCTGCTGTCATAAATGCTGTGAACCTGCTGTCATAAATGCTGTGAACCTGCTGTCATAAATGCTGTGAACCTGCTGTCATAAATGCTGTGAACCTGCTGTCATAAATGCTGTGAACCTGCTGTCATAAATGCTGTGAACCTGCTGTCATAAATGCTGTGAACCTGCTGTCATAAATGCTGTGAACCTGCTGTCATAAATGCTGTGAACCTGCTGTCATAAATGCTGTGAACCTGCTGTCATAAATGCTGTGAACCTGCTGTCATAAATGCTGTGAACCTGCTGTCATAAATGCTGTGAACCTGCTGTCATAAATGCTGTGAACCTGCTGTCATAAATGCTGTGAACCTGCTGTCATAAATGCTGTGAACCTGCTGTCATAAATGCTGTGAACCTGCTGTCATAAATGCTGTGAACCTGCTGTCATAAATGCTGTGAACCTGCTGTCATAAATGCTGTGAACCTGCTGTCATAAATGCTGTGAACCTGCTGTCATAAATGCTGTGAACCTGCTGTCATAAATGCTGTGAACCTGCTGTCATAAATGCTGTGAACCTGCTGTCATAAATGCTGTGAACCTGCTGTCATAAATGCTGTGAACCTGCTGTCATAAATGCTGTGAACCTGCTGTCATAAATGCTGTGAACCTGCTGTCATAAATGCTGTGAACCTGCTGTCATAAATGCTGTGAACCTGCTGTCATAAATGCTGTGAACCTGCTGTCATAAATGCTGTGAACCTGCTGTCATAAATGCTGTGAACCTGCTGTCATAAATGCTGTGAACCTGCTGTCATAAATGCTGTGAACCTGCTGTCATAAATGCTGTGAACCTGCTGTCATAAATGCTGTGAACCTGCTGTCATAAATGCTGTGAACCTGCTGTCATAAATGCTGTGAACCTGCTGTCATAAATGCTGTGAACCTGCTGTCATAAATGCTGTGAACCTGCTGTCATAAATGCTGTGAACCTGCTGTCATAAATGCTGTGAACCTGCTGTCATAAATGCTGTGAACCTGCTGTCATAAATGCTGTGAACCTGCTGTCATAAATGCTGTGAACCTGCTGTCATAAATGCTGTGAACCTGCTGTCATAAATGCTGTGAACCTGCTGTCATAAATGCTGTGAACCTGCTGTCATAAATGCTGTGAACCTGCTGTCATAAATGCTGTGAACCTGCTGTCATAAATGCTGTGAACCTGCTGTCATAAATGCTGTGAACCTGCTGTCATAAATGCTGTGAACCTGCTGTCATAAATGCTGTGAACCTGCTGTCATAAATGCTGTGAACCTGCTGTCATAAATGCTGTGAACCTGCTGTCATAAATGCTGTGAACCTGCTGTCATAAATGCTGTGAACCTGCTGTCATAAATGCTGTGAACCTGCTGTCATAAATGCTGTGAACCTGCTGTCATAAATGCTGTGAACCTGCTGTCATAAATGCTGTGAACCTGCTGTCATAAATGCTGTGAACCTGCTGTCATAAATGCTGTGAACCTGCTGTCATAAATGCTGTGAACCTGCTGTCATAAATGCTGTGAACCTGCTGTCATAAATGCTGTGAACCTGCTGTCATAAATGCTGTGAACCTGCTGTCATAAATGCTGTGAACCTGCTGTCATAAATGCTGTGAACCTGCTGTCATAAATGCTGTGAACCTGCTGTCATAAAGTATGGTTCAGCAGGTCCAATCTTCTTGTCATAAATGCTGAATGCTTTGTGAACATTAAAGAGCGCCCGCATCAAGTACATGTGCATGGGGAAGGTGCGGTTGATGCCTCTCATCCCCACACCTGCACGCATTCAACCCTCTCATCCTCTCACCTGCACGTAGCCAATCTTCTTGTCGTAGACCGAATAGGCCTTGAGCACATTGAACAACGCCCGCTGCCCCGGGCCGTGCTTCTGCATAAAGTAGACGTGCGTGGGGAAGGTGCGGTTGATGTCCCTTATGATGTCCATCTCATTGTTGGATAGCTCGTACAGAAGCATGTGCTGCCAATAACGAGGATAAAAGGGGAGCAAGAGGAGGGGGAAAGGGAAGGTGCGGTTGATGTCTCGGATGATGTCCATCTCGTTGATAGACAGCTCGTACAGTAACATGTGCTGCCAATAACGAGGATGAAAGAGGTGCAGGGGGGAAGAGGGGGGTTGGGATTGGGGGGGGATGGCTGAGTGACGGACGGGAATGGGAAGATGACATCAGCAGGAAGGGCGATCAGCACTTTCATACACCACCCCAATAAGACCCCCCTCTGATAACTCTTTGACACAGCAGCACACAGCAGCACACAGCAGCACACAGCAGCACACAGCAGCACACAGCAGCACACAGCAGCACACAGCAGCACACAGCAGCACACAGCAGTGCAAATACGTGCTCGAACCAGTTGAGAGCATTCAATTCATCGAATGAACGCGCACAACTCACCTCATACGCGCCTTCATTCATCAACAGGAACTCCCGGCTACCAGACAAAAGTTGCCACACGATCCCGCGCAGGCAGTCCGGCACGCCTTGTCTTATCCGCTTCTTGACCTCCCGGGGGTGTTTCCTCTGGTAGAGGTTCCAGTCCATGGGCCCTAGACCAATCATGGCGCGCCACCTGCGCACCTCCCTCTCCTCCCTGAGTGAGGTGAGAATGCAAGGGGAGGAGTGAAAGAGACAGAAGGAGAAGAGGTGGCATTTGATTCAACTCAGAGAGAGGAGGAAAGAGGAAAAACAAAATCTGAATTGACGCACAAAGGCACATTACCAAATATACAATAATCGATCTTACTTGATGTACAGCAGCCTCTCCTCCTTCTCCAATAAGCTTGCCTGCGGACCATGCACCCCCACCACTCCTCTCCCCTCCTCCCCTCCGCCATTCCCCTCCCTACCCTCCCCCTCCTCCGCCACAAACCCATACCGATCCACCACCGCAGGCATGTCCATAGGCTCGGTATCGAACTCCACAGCAGCAGCTTCGGTAAGAGGCCCGCGCTTGTGCCACTCTATCCCGTCCTTGTCCCGGTAGGTTCGGGTCGACAGCGTTGCTTCGGCTTTCTTCCCCAGGGAGGCCAGGGTCGGCGGCAGGCTCGGGTTCGCTGCTTCGGCAGCGGCGGCGATGGCCGCGGCTAATTCGGCGCGTGGTGAGGAAACTGGGTCGTGTTGTAAAGGGGATGAGGATTGGCTGTGGTGGTTGTGGCTGGTTTCCGAAGGCTCGGTGCCCTCGATAATGGCTTCCTGTAAACCACCCACCTCATACTCACTCATGTGAGGACTCCCCACTCCTCCCCCCTCACTTGCCGCCCCACTCCCCTCCTCACTCCCCTCCGCACTTTCCTCCTCCCCACTCTCCTCCCCACGCCCCCTGTCCTCCCCCTCTCCATCGTCCACATCAGACAGAGGGCTGCTCCCCCCAAGAGGCGATCTGCCGATCCCAGCCGGAGTGGACATGGCGCGAGGGAACCGGGCCATCACTCTCCTCCGGCCCTCTTTTGAGCTCTGCTCCACACCCTGCTCTGTGCTCTGCTCTCCGGCCTTCTCCTCGTCCTGCCCTACCCCCTCGCCCACACCCTCCTCTAAGTCTGCCGCTGTGGCTCCTGCTGCTTCTCCAACCAGCTGTTGCTCAGAAGAGAGAACCTCCATGCCACCAGAACCAGCACTGTCACCACCACCAACACCACCAGCACCCCCAGCACCAGCACTAGCAGCACCAGCACTGCTACCAGCAGCAGAAACCGTGGCAGCCGGAGCAGGAGCAGGGGGGAGCCCGGCATCTCGAGGCATGGCGAACAGGGGCGAGCGCGGGCCCTGCGGCTGCAACCCCAAAGCGAACGTCTGAGACGACAGCTGCCGCCGATGCTGGACATGCAGGGGCGGCAGGTTGTGCGGCAGGATATGGTGCGGGTAGTACGGGGATTGCATGAGAGCAGGGTCCAGGGGCGAGGAGGCAGTGGAAGACATGGTGCAGTCTATTGAAACGGTTGGGCTCGGTTCATAACGTGCTGTCTGCCATCTCTCCCCGTCCCCTCCCCCGCTGGCTCGCCTCCAGTGCGGAACGTACGCTGCTGCTGCTCCCCCGCTGCTTCCCCGCTGCACCTGTGCTGCTCCTCCCCCCCCTGCTGCTGTTCCTGCAGCTGCTGCTGCTCCTCTTCCTCCTCCTTCCATTGCTTCTTCCTGTAACCTCCTCCTTCGGATCATAGCGCTGCCACTGCTTGCTGACCGTCTGGCCAACGCTCCTCCCTCCTCGTCCTCGTCCGCTTCTTCATCTCCTCTTAAGCTCTCTTCTTCCTCCTCCTCCTCCTCGTCTTCTCCTTGCTCCTCTAGAGCAAAATCCGACCCTCGTTCCTCCCTATCCCCTTCCTCTTCCCCACTGCCTCCCCCTCCACCTTCTCTACTTGTGCCCCCTTCTCCCCCCTCTCCGCCAATTCCCCCGTTCTCGTCCCCCCTACCGCCACCCCTGTTTTCCCCAACCTCTTTCCCCAAATCCGTGTTCGAACCTGTTCTACCCCCACCACCGCCACTGGCAGCATTACCCGCTTGCATAACCCCCCCTATAAGCACACCTTCTACAGTAACCCCACTGTACACTGCCCCGTCCCCAACCCCTTCCAGTCCCCGTTTCACTTTCCTCGTTAACGGAGCACGCTTTAACGCACCAGGTACAAGCTTAGGCGGAATAGCTAATGCAGCAGCTGCAGCACGGGCTGAACTTTCTGTTCCTCTCTTATTCGCCTCCTTTCCCTCCAATCCCTTGTCTTCCCCTTCCGCTCCACCCCCCCTTCCACCCTCTTTCCCAGTCCCCCCTTGGTTTTCCTCCCCCGCTATACTTTCCCCTTCCCCTTTCCGCTGGTGCGCCATTGCAAAGGCCTCAAGGCTCTTCCTTTCCCGCCCAAACCCGCACAGCGCATGATGCACCCTGCGCCTGTGCATCTCCTCCAACCAGATCGCGCCACTTGTCCTCGTCACAATAATCGCGAAATCCGACCGTCCAGATGCATCCAGCCATCCCACACGAGTGCTCGCCCCTCCCGCGTTATCCCCGCCCATTCCCCCGGCGCTCCTGCTTCCCCCTCTCCCATCCTGATGCTGCGGACGGCTCATCCACTCCCCCCACCGCAATTTCTCTCCCCCCGTTCCGCCACCCTTTCCCCCGCCCGCTCCTCCGCTTCTCCCCTCTGCTCCGCGCGCTGGGGCTGCGGCAGCTACGGCGGCTGCAGCGGCTGCATCAGTAGTGGCCTTCCCCGCGGGCATGGACATCTGCTTGAGATATCCGCGGTGCGGGCGCAAGTGCGCGGGCGGAGCGGAAGGCGCAGCAGGTCGCTCGTGACTTGAACCGCTGCTTCCCCCTTCGCTCCCCGCATCTGCTTTTTCTCGCGCCGACTCGCGCAACCCTAGCGCTTTTCCCAGATTCGACATGCGCATTCCGCCTATCCCGCCTATCCCGCCCATTCCGCCGATTCCGCCCAGTTTGCCGGATTTTTTCGGGCGCGGATCGCTGTGGTAGCGGACAAAATCTCCGCCGTCCTCTGCCTGATCGTCATCGTCGCGAGTTAACGAGGACGTTACTCGAGGAGCGCTATCTCTTGCGATACCAATTTCACTATCTACCGTCGATTCTGGACTAGCGGGCTCCATGGACCGTTGATTTTGGATCCTAAACGTGGGATCTCCCCCAAAAGGCGCGCTAGAAACTTTCTGAGAAACGAAAACCGCGGCTGCGGAGGAACGAGGGCCAGCTACAATGGCGGGTGTTGCGGCGACAGCAACGCTGGCTACAGCTGCTGCTTGTGCATGACAGGTGGAGGCGATTGGTGACAGTGACGCGAGGACGTGTGGCGGAGGGAGATGCAGAGGCGACTCGCTGGCCATTAAGCTCGCTGTCAGGCGAGAGGGCGACCTTCGAGCCGCGCTCCCGGCATGGCCTCAGATAGCATTCGCCTGACAGCACTTTCCGCGCGTTTTCCGGTTTGGAAAGAGGATGTTGAGGGACGGCTATGGCGAGACGCAAGCGGCTTCTCATCAGCAGTACATTACAAGCGCCTGACGTACTATCCGTTACGAAGATTCGAGAGACCCAATATACAGAGAATGGAAATGGAATTGGCCAAAGATAACGAGTGACTAATCAACCTAGGAGGTACGGGTAGTACCTGAGCTGCACTCGCTGCGACGCTTCCACGTCTGCTAAGAAAGACTTGGAATCCGCGAATGTGAGCCTCGCTTCACGACACTAAACGTCAACGCGACAATACCTAAAGCCGTTGGTCATATGAGAGATTTGTCTGCATTTTCAGGGCGTGGAACATGGCATCATCAGGCCCGAAGAGGAAGAACGACAGCGTCACCACCAACGATCTCGCACGCAACTAATGGAGGGTTGAATTTTATCCAGCCATGGCAGAACAAGCGAAATAGAAAGTCGTCCTCTTCTTGCGCGGATGGGGGCGGCAAAATCCATGGGCGGGAAGGGTTGCCCAGTGGCGCTACGCCTTGCGGAAGATTGTCGTCCTCTTCTTGCGCGGATTCCCGCACTGGTGCCGTTCCCTGCGCGTGATAAGCCACAGTGCCCGCAAGGTTCCGTGCTGCCTTAGGTTTCTCCGCGTGGGTGTACTTATTGCGTTGGTTGTTGCGAGCCTTCTGATTGGATAGAAGAGATGCCAAAATCAGTGGGGTGGAAAGTGTTGTGTGGTTGAAAACATTTCTCAAGAAGAAACGGAGTAGGTGTATTGAGTTGAAAATGAGTGATTCTGTAAAGAGTATACACTACAAAATGCACCACTCGTTTCAATCTCACCGAACAGATTTGCGAGACATAAACGACAACGGGCATGAATGAAACCAATGGGACTGTGTGTGTGTGGGCGATGTCAGTTTTAGCGAAGACCCTGAGGCGACAGCTGTCTCGGCTTGTGCAGAACCTGCATCCGACAAAGGCCATGAGCAAGGTTGGCGCTCATGTTGTGCTCGACAAACTTGGCTGCAGAATGCACGGCAATTAAAACTCCAATATACAGTAGTCGTACAGAAAAACAAAGCCACCTTATATTGGCTACATCACCGTATCATGCACAAATTCAACTAGAAGTCCATCTGTCTCAACATATACTACCGTATTCTCCCAGATATAAGACCCTAGGGTCTTATGGAAATTTCAAAAAAAAAGTGGGGGGGTCTTGTCAAAGGCAACTAATGATATAGTACCCGGGTCTTATCATATGGACATATTTTTAAGATGTGTGTTCAAATGCTTCATAGATGGGGATGCTCGCGATTTTCTTTCCATCCTCAATAGGTTCGCAAATGTGAGCATTCGAATTTTAGGTACATCACACTGAAAACTGCCTGTGGCCTTCTCATTCAAATCTAGCTGTGGCCATAACATTGAAATCTGGCTATTGTTTTCCCCCATGTTTGCTACTTTTTTCATGAACAGTCAACCCTTGTGTGGGTTTAATGGGCCTAAATTTGTGCTCACGCCCTTATGATGCTAGAAAAACACATGAAAATGCATCAAATTTCAGAGAAAAACACTAGTCTGCACTTTTGGGAGAGGGTCTTGTAATGTTTACCCCTCTAGAGGGGGGTATAGTGGAAACCTGCCAAAATAAAAGACCCACCCCCGTATTACAGACCCGGGGGTCCTGTATTCCGGGGGGTCTTCTATACGGGAGAATACGGTATCTGTAGTTTAACCTGTAGCAGCAATCGTCCTCTTCTAGAAAAAAAAAAATATTTATAAACACTACTATCATTTTTACTATCAGGTAACCAGGTGCTTGCCTTCATTTAGCCTGCAAAACCAACACTCGGTCATCTGTGTTCCTTCTCATGTCATGCCTTGCCGACTCAGCCAGCTAGTCTCCAGTTGTGAACCCGCCTACATTGCCCCGCACATTGGGCTTTGAATTGAAACCCTATCCTTGCATTAAACTGGAACTTTAGGATTGAATTGAACCCCCGTCCACTGCCCCAGACAGCAGCGCGAGTCCCTTCACTTGCCTCACAGAAGGACTGGACAGAAGGACTGAATCAGGGAGCTCAGCGATCAAACTCGTGGCTGGGCGCTTGACAAGACATTTTCTTTCCGCTCACCCACCCTAGGGATTTCAGCCCCCTCCTCTTCCGCTCACCCACCCTGGGGATTTCAGCCGCCTTCCCTCCCGCGCTCACCAATCAACCACCCTAGAGGTTTCAGCCCCATCTCTTTGACGAAACCCACGCTAAACATTTCAACACCATTGTCTTCCACTCACCCACACAAAAGATTCAGCACCCTTCCTTTGACTCACCCACCTAAAACGTTTCAATCTCCTTTCACCCAACCTAAGAATTTTAGCTCCCTTCTTTTCCACTCGCCCAACCACCCAAAGGGTTTCAGCCCCCTAAGACCAGTCTTCCAACCGCCCTAAGGTTTAGTCTGCACTTTTGGGAGAGGGTCTTGTAATGTTTACCCCTCTAGAGGGGGGTATAGTGGAAACCTGCCAAAATAAAAGACCCACCCCCGTATTACAGACCCGGGGGTCCTGTATTCCGGGGGGTCTTCTATACGGGAGAATACGGTATCTGTAGTTTAACCTGTAGCAGCAATCGTCCTCTTCTAGAAAAAAAAAATATTTATAAACACTACTATCATTTTTACTATCAGGTAACCAGGTGCTTGCCTTCATTTAGCCTGCAAAACCAACACTCGGTCATCTGTGTTCCTTCTCATGTCATGCCTTGCCGACTCAGCCAGCTAGTCTCCAGTTGTGAACCCGCCTACATTGCCCCGCACATTGGGCTTTGAATTGAAACCCTATCCTTGCATTAAACTGGAACTTTAGGATTGAATTGAACCCCCGTCCACTGCCCCAGACAGCAGCGCGAGTCCCTTCACTTGCCTCACAGAAGGACTGGACAGAAGGACTGAATCAGGGAGCTCAGCGATCAAACTCGTGGCTGGGCGCTTGACAAGACATTTTCTTTCCGCTCACCCACCCTAGGGATTTCAGCCCCCTCCTCTTCCGCTCACCCACCCTGGGGATTTCAGCCGCCTTCCCTCCCGCGCTCACCAATCAACCACCCTAGAGGTTTCAGCCCCATCTCTTTGACGAAACCCACGCTAAACATTTCAACACCATTGTCTTCCACTCACCCACACAAAAGATTCAGCACCCTTCCTTTGACTCACCCACCTAAAACGTTTCAATCTCCTTTCACCCAACCTAAGAATTTTAGCTCCCTTCTTTTCCACTCGCCCAACCACCCAAAGGGTTTCAGCCCCCTAAGACCAGTCTTCCAACCGCCCTAAGGTTTCTTAACTCACTCGCAGTAGGGGATTCAGCCCCCTTTTGTTCCTACATCGACACCCAACGGGTTTCAGCCCCCCATTTCCCTTTCACTCACCCACCAAGTGGTTTCAGCACCCTTCCCTATCTCACACCCACACAAAGGGTTTGAACCCCCTTCCCTCTCACTCACCCACCAAGGGGTTTGAATCCCCTTCCCTCTCATTCACCCACCCACGGGGTTTCAGCCCCATTCCCTCAATTCACCCATCAAGGGGTTTTGAACCCCTTTCCCTCTCACTCACCCACTCTACCAGGTTCAGTTACCACAACCCCCCTGCCTTCCTCTCACCACCATAACCTCCCCCCCCACCCTGCCCCTGCCAGCAATAGGAGCAGCAGACAACCCACTTCCTCAGGGAAACAGCAGCCCCAGAGTCTGTGCCTTGTGGGCGAGGTGTGGCAGTGGAAAAGCGTTTCCAGCCCAAGACTCATATCCCACCCCCCTGACGTAGCTAGAGCTGCCGCCCACCAGAGCCGCTGGCCGGTCGACTCTTACGGTGTCCATTAAGCTTTGATCGCCAGATCGGTCACTTGAGCACCGAGTGCCGTGCCGCGCAGATTCCACCCACCACACCCCGACCCACAAGGCCCAACCCCAGAGGATGCTGCCCCTAAGGCAGCCAACTCCTCGCATTGCCCCATGCTTCCCACTCACCCTCCTACCTTCACCCCAAGCATCCTTACCTCTACTCACCACAGTCATGCAGAGCGCTGTGATGCCTAAGGCTGCGGGGGAGTGGGGAAGGGGAGGATTAACAGTGAGGAGGTGTAAGGGGGTTCTTTTGAGGGTGGGGAAGCGGGGAAAGGAGAAAGCGAGAAGGGAAATAGCTCACCCCAGCAGTCTTTGGCGCAGCCTCATGTGTCTCTCTTGCAACGCTACCACTGCCATGTGATGGACAGACATATGCCATGTGGATTATGCCATGCCATGCAGATGACACACACCATGTGGATGACACAAACAAGCCACGTGGATGACATATGCCATGTGGATGGGATGAGAGCAAACTTGGGGTAATGGGAACCAGAGGAGGTCAGGTAAGAGAGTGAGGCGGCGGAGGGGAGAAGTAAGGGGAGGCAAGAACGAGAGGAAGGGGCAGGCAGGGAGAAACAGGAGATGAAGCAACAGGGGAAGGCTCAAGAGTGGCTGCAAGGCAAACGAGAGCAAGAGAAGCAGTGCAACGAGTATTGAGACGCCTCAAGATGTAAAAGCCCGTGAAAGCGGCGCAGGCAGTGCCATGCCGCATCACTCCGCATCTCCAGCTCTTCCAGCGCGCCCGCACCCACACCTTCCCCTTCCACCTCCACCACCTTCTCCCCCTCATCCCCCTCTCCCGCCGTTATTCCCGCTAAAGGCGGAATTAGCGCTGCTTTTGCCGTCGTCATCGCGGACGATGGCGGCGAGGCGGCACCGCCGGTCGCGCCGCTCATCACGGCGACATGCGCGCTTCTGGCAGAGTGCGCGCGCGCGGGCTGAGCGGCTCCTCGTCTTCGAACGCGACGCGCTTTTGTGCCCTGTGCCCCCTTTGATCGCGCTGCTGTCCTGTGGTCATTGCCCCTCCTGACGCGCGCAGGCTGAGCGGCTCGTCGTCGTCGAACGCGACGCGCTTTAACTCGCGACCTCGGCTGCTGCGCCTCGTGGCCTCCATCGTACTCGTTACTATCCGCTTCGCTATAAGTGTCGCAATCGTTACAGCACTTACCTATAACAGCCTGCCGTGGATTCAAGCCTCCTGCCGTGTCGCAGCAACGGCAAGACTTCACGCGTACGCGCTCCGACGTAAGTGCGTGTCGCATGTTCGGACGGTGACGGTCTATCACGGTCTCGGACCTCGGCTCCTGCGCCTCGTGGCCTCCATTGTACTCGTTACTACCAGGTTGAGAATTTGGAATGAAAGACGAAAGCACTTTTTGAAGAGGACTTTCTAGTAGTGTATCACCACAAAGTACCAGACCCACACTCCCCTACGCATTTGCCTCGCGTTTACCGTGGTTTAGAAGGTTCCCTCGCGGTCAGGAACGGTGTTGCGGCCTAATCGCGATAAGTGAGGTGATCATTCAACCAACGCGCACCGAAGTAAACCATTCAACCATGAATGTAAACAACTCATTTTCCTTGCCACTCATCTCACGACAATCTCACACTTCTCGAATCGCGTTGACGCATAGATACAGCTTCCTATTGTCCGTATGAGCAGCAAAGGTCTCCTCTTGCTCGTCACTGAAATTCGAGCTAAGTAGTTCTTATTAATCCCTGAACGTAGGCTCAATAGTCGCTGTTGACGAAGGTAGACGCACTTCTCGATCCACATTGGCCGACGCACGGTCGCGGCGGTATGGAGGTGGAATCGCGCGAGTTCGTATGGAGCCGTATCAACCGGGGTGCGTGCTTCGATACATGTTCTTCTTACCTTTCCTTACGTTAACTGTAGATCCTGGTTCAGATCCCATCGGCAGCTAACGGATTGCGAGGCGCTTTGGAGATGGTTTCGATTGCTCCAGCTGTTCCTCCGTGTCACGCGGACATGGTTAGCATTTTCGGAAAGCGGTTGCACGCGGTAGTCACGCTAAGGCCTTATCAATTTATGTGTCTGCAGACGATAGCAAGATCTTTGCAATACAAGTCCTGGAGCTGCTTCTTGTTTCCTGCGTTTGGGAAAATCATGCGCGCAGTACGCTATTTGACGCAGAATGAGTGGATTGGATTTTTCAGACGTTTCGTCAATGGTATTATCGCCGATTCGGGCCTTTCCGTGAAGATACTGCGAAAATTCAAGGTTGTTTTTATTCCAATCAGTGGATTTGCAGAGCTTTTTCACCTTCATTGTGCCAGGCCTCCCTCTAGTCCTTGCTTTCAGCTTCTCAAATGATGTCGCAGATGTTCCTTTGGGATTGCCGCAGATTTTCGTTTGGGATTGTCGCGTCCCTTGGAATTGTCGCCGTCTCAACTTACGCCTAGTCCGTGTAACTCCCCTTAGCGAATTCATTCAGCGCTAGTGGCATCGCAACTATTGCTCTAATCGAATCGCTTGTTTCGCCTCTATTCCTCAGACGTCCATCATGGGAGTGCTTGGCATTCGAGGGGCGAGTTGTGCTTTCTTAATCCTTGCAGGAAGCATCATCGTTTCGTAATTTAGGTGGAGATTGTTTTGTCGCTCGACGCTCGTTCGTTCGTTCCTTCTGTCGCGTCACCTTTCCTTCCATTCTCTGTCCCTCTCCAGCCTTCACACATTTCTCCTCTCCCACGTTTCCTTTCACCTCTGTGAGCGCATAGCTCACTCACGTGCGTGCATAGCTGACTCACGTGCGTGCATAGCTGACTCACGTGTGTGCATAGATGACTCACGTGTGTGCATAGCTGACTCACGTGTGTGCAGTGAACAGCAAGAATTGCGGCTGGCAACAGAACAGAAGACACCCAGACAGTGTCCACGTCTGCACAGTACTACCTCTCACAAAACCAGTGAGTGCAGGCAGCAGCAGGGAGTGCAGGTAGCAGCAGGGAGTGCCGGTAGCAGCAGGGAGTGCAGGTAGCAGCAGGGAGTGCCGGTAGCAACGGTGTCCAACGTTGCACGCTACTGGCATAACGAGTGAACTCAGGCTGAGGCGGCTATTTGGGGGCTTGGGGAGCGAGTGGTGGTAGCAGCACTCTATCCCCTTCCTTTGATTGACCCCATCCTTCTTTCATGATATGCGTTTCTTCGATGCCCTCCCAGTTCCATTGCCTTGTCGCGCTGTCAGCAACAATGATTGCGCTGTCAGCAACAATGATTGCGCTGTCAGCAACAATGATCGTCGTGAGTAAGGTGGCATGGCATGATCGTTTCCTATTCTCACTGTGTTTGTCATCGGGAGCACTGCTTCGCCCTCATCCCTCCTTCTACCCTCATCCCTCCCTCGACTCTCATCCTTTCTCTACCCTCATCCCCCCTGCGCTCTCACCCCCCCTGCGCCCTCATCCCCCCTGCGCGCTCATCCCCCCATCCCCCCACCCCTCCCCCGCCTCCCTTTTCCTTTCAGAGGGCGAACGTGGCGTTTGAGGCGAATGCGCGCAGGGAGGAGGGGAGGGCCAGCAAGCACGATTTGATATGTCTCCACCCCTCCCCCCTCTCCCTCCCCCCTTTCTCAACCCCCTTCCCCCTTTCCTCCCCCTCCTCCCTTTCTCCCCCAGAGGGCGAACGAGGCGATGCAGGGTGTGAGTGGTACATGAGGCGAACGCACGCAAGGGGGAGGAGAGGGCCAGCAAGCAGCACGAGATCGAGTTTTGAGGCGTCTCAAAGAACGAGGCGATGGAGTCTCAAAGAACGAGGCGATGCAGCGCGGGTGTGGTGTTTGACGCGAATGCGCGTTCGCCTCAAGCAGCAAGCTTGGAGGAGCTTGGAGGGGGAGAGGGCGAGCGAGCAGCACGAGATCGACTGGCTCATGGAGGAGCTTGAATCGAACACACCCAGGTGTGATGCGATGCGGTGTGGAGCGGTTGGGTGCGGTGGGGTGCAGTGGGTGTGACAGGATGAGGTAAAGAAGTGCGACGTGTGAGAGGAGGCTGAGCTGAGGGATGGGCACCGGAGAGGAGAGGATGGTTGGTGGAGTGCAGTGGGGTGGGATGCGGTGGGATGAGAGGAGATGGGGAACAATGATAAGGTGGGGGAGGGGAGTGTATAATTGGATGACCAAGGAGTCACTTGTACCTCGTCTCGTCCCTCCCATTTTGCCCTTCCCCTTTCCCTCCTTTCCCCCTTTGCCCGTCCCCCTTTGTCCTTCCTCCTTTGCTGTCCCCCTTTTTCTTTTCCCCCCTTTCCCCTTCCTCTTTTGCCCGTCCTCCTTTGCCCATCCTCCTTTGCCCATCCTCCTTTGCCCATCCCCCTTTGCCCATCCCCCTTTGCCCATCCCCCTTTGCCCATCCCCCTTTGCCCATCCCCCTTTGCCCATCCCCCTTTGCCCATCCCCCTTTGCCCGTCCCTTTTTGCCCTTCCCCTTTCACCCTTTCTCCTTTGCCCGTCCCCCTTTTGCTCCTCAAGCTCTCTTCCATCTTCACCCTTTTTCCTTTGCCCTTCCCCCTTCCTCCTTCCCTGTTTTCCCTTTTGTCCCTACCTCTCCTCTTTTCCCCCACCCCGACTCCCTACTCCCATTGCCCGCTCTACCCCCTGTTACCCAGGCTCGTGTGAGCAGCATCTCTCTGCTGCTATTGCTGCTGCTGCTGCTGCTGCTGTTCGCCCCCTTTTTCCTGCTTCTGCCACTGCCCTGCTTCTGCCACTGCAGCTGCTGCGCTGCTGCTGGTGACAGCTTGCTTGGGGAAGAGAACACTGCGTCAGCTACAGGCGAATGAACGACAGCAGGGGAGGGAGGGGGTGCTGTATGTCCTTCACTGCTCGCAGCATCAGCAGGAGAATGAGCTGCAGATGCTGTGTGTGTGTGAGTGCTAGAGGGGCCTGAGGAGGCCAAGGAGAGGCTTGTGTGTCGCCTGCACATGCAGCTGCTAAAGATGCAAGAGATGCTGCAGGTAATGCTACGGCGTGACTTTTGAGTCGAATCAAAAGTCACCTCACTGCAGATGCAAGAGACGCTGCAGCCTGCAGGTAATGCCATGGCTGACTTGACTTTGTTGTTTAATATAAATACTCCAACGGCTGACTTGACTTTGTTGTTTAATATTCTAAATACTCCAACGGCTGACTTGACTTGGTTTTTTTAATGTTCTAAAGATTCCAACGGCTGACTGACACCTTGCATGAAGAAATCGTCCCTTCATTCCTCTTCTCCCTTCCAACCACTTCTCTCTCCACACCTCCCCCAACCCCCCCCCCCCTCCCCCCACCCTCCACCCCCTCACCCCACCTCTCCTCCCTCCCCTCCTCTCTCTCCTCCCTTTTTTGAAATCTATAAGAACAAGGTTCATGACACCATACCAAGATCCTCATTCCCCCTGCAACCTCACCCCCCCCTGCGCGCTCATTCCCCCTGCAACCTCACCCCCCCCTGCGCGCTCATTCCCCCTGCAACCTTTTCCCCCCTGCGCGCTCATTCCCCCTGCAACCTTTTCCCCCCTGCGCGCTCATCCCCCCTGCAACCTTTTCCCCCCTGCGCGCTCATCCCCCCTGCAACCTTTTCCCCCCTGCGCGCTCATCCCCCCCAGCGGGCATGACAGTATGACGGGCGTCCCTCTTGCCGCTGCAGGGAGGCACGCTGCTCAAGGTGCTCATGACAGTATGGCGGGCGTCCCTCTTGACAGTATGGCGGGCGTCC